ATGTATCGCTCAAGGGCATTAACTTATCTTAATTGTTCTTTAGAATTTCTTATTTTACTTTTATTAAACATAAGTTTTAAAAAAAATTCATGATCTTGTTTAATCCTTAATTTTTTTAATTTCACGTATATATAATTTTCTTCATTTGTTTTTATTATTATTATTATTCTATAACTCTTGTCAATTAAAAAGAAAGAATTAGCAAACATTTATTCAATCCTTTATAAGCAACGGTAACTTACTTAATCCTTTATTTTCCATTACTAATTTTAAAAAAGAGATGATAGATAAATAAATTTTATTTAGCAAATAAATCACGTGAAAGTCACAGGCATGCATTTAGATAGGGTGGTTTTATATGAATGGGGATGGGGGAAGACCATGCAGTGCAGAGTATGAAGGGTGTGCATTTATCTCTAATTCCCAAGGTTGGGAATGAGACATAGTGTGCATTTATGGAGGGATGCATTTATAGAGGGTGCACTTTATGGAGGGTTCACTGTATATAATTTTAATTTTATTATTATTATTATAAATAATATTTTTTAAATAAATTTTTTATCTAATTAAAAATAGGTGAAATCCTTGATAAATCCATCAATATGTTTGATTTCTACGCGCCAAGTTTGATTTCTTACTATTACGTGTTGTAACTTTAACTAACAAATTGATTTCTTCTATCTTAACTTGAGTATTATCATTAAACATTTTTTGTCAATTCAAAAATCTGTATTTTTTATTAGTTTGAACTTTATTCCTCTATATTATACTCATTCCATAGTTCCAAAAGATGATGAAGGAAGAAATGGGCGAAAACATTTAAAAGGGCAATATATCGAATTTATGGACATCCATGAAATATTTTTCGTTTGTTATAAACATTAACGCTCTATATTTTTTATACTATCAAACAGTAAACCATGTCCAGAACATCTTATGAAATTCTTTTAGCAAGTGGAATATTTACCCCTTACTTGACTTTTTAAAAAATGGATCTTTAGATCAAATCACTATCTCTAGAATCTTTTACCAACAATGGAGTCTTTTCAAGATTCAAACCGAAAATGCAGACTGTGAATGTCACTAGCGTTTATTAATAAAAATTGAAAGTGAAGGCATCGTTGATAATCGTAAAAAAATTCTGAAATCACTGTGGGAAAGTTTATCTTAATGAAACATGCAGATCTTTCATTAGAAAGGATACTTTGCACTTACATCAGATATTTTGATATATATGAAAACGAAGAAAACATCCTGTCAAGACATTAATTTATGTAATGCGATTGAGTAAGCAGTACAATGCCAGCGATAATCTTTTTCATTCCATTTTTTATGGTGACTTGTAAACAGTAAAGGTTAAGCAAACTCTATAGCTGGCAAACACTGATTGATTCAGAAGTCTGGTTTATCTGAGTTAAAAATGATGATTTCGGGTTTCTATTAACTCGACTTCATTTTTTGTAGATATGATATAATCGAAAAGAACTCATGCTATTAGTAGATGCGGGCTTATTATGGGAAAAGTTTAAAGAACAAGTGGACTGGAAAAATACAGCTTCTAGCAACATATCCATATTAAGAGAAGCAATAAAAGTATGTGTCATTACGATTAATGAAAAATAAATCAATTGTTAACTTTACATCTAACTTACTAGAAAGAAAATACACCGACCCATGACTACCTTTTCAAGAAAATATACAAAATAGATATAGACAATTTAACATATGATGATCCATTATGTAATGGAATAGTTGACCTAGGATTGAATCGGTTTCAGCTTTCAGAAAGTGACTATGAGGCTTTAATTATACATATCTACTGTAATAGGAGAACAATATTCTTTTGAGCATTAAATATGAGTGATATTAATTGTTATTTATACTGTTTCAAATAAAAAACCTTTAATAAAGAATGCATGTGCTGATTTTGTGGTAAAAAGAGATGAAGTCCAACGATTATATAAGTTTGTACCATCAACAAAGGAAACAGTAACACATGAGAGATGGATCGAGCAAGAACAGGACAGGGTATTGATATATAAAAAATGTTACCAAAATAATAACAAAAAAATAAAATAAAAAATCATATCGCAATTACATGATATGAATATAAAAAAAAAACTAATTATTTTCTGATAACGGCTCCACAAGTACGTAAATAACATCTTGATCAGGATTCGCGCTGAAATGGTCATAAATCCTACTATCTTTATTCATATTCATGAGGTAGTTCTAAATAAATTTATTGCTAAAACGCGTCGCAATTTTGTGGATTTCGAAATGCTCAGGAACCATCAGATGGACAAGCCTCGGATACTAACAAAGTGAAAGTTGTTTCTATAATTATATAATTTAAAATCGATCAATTAATATTATTACATATTTTGCTATTATTGATTGATAGTGCAGGTTAATTTGACATCATCTATTATATAATTAGAACTATTTATTTTTCATATTTATGATTTGATATGGTTTAAATCATTACTATTGTATATCGTTAAAAGCATCTTTGTGTGATATAATATCCATCAACTTAAAAATGTTTTCTCACATTCTAGAACTTTATCCAAACCATGGCTTAATTCATATAAATGTCAAGAATTCAACAGAATTAAAAAATGATTATTATCTCATGATTCAGAATTGAGTTATGCTTTTGTTGATGCTAAAGTGGTAAAAATTTAATCCCAATTCGTTTTTTTTATATTACATGTTGCTTTTATTGAATTAGTAGTAAGTGTTCAAATAATTTTGAGTATAATTTCGGCAACTATGAAAAAATATTTCGGCATTTCGGATTTGGTGACGATCATTTACTAAGTGAAATAATTTCGGCTAACATCTTTACTCTTAACCAATAAAAAAAAAAATATATAATGATCTGGAATTAATTTTTTGCAAGAAATTAACAAATTTAAATCTTTGAATGTTTACATTTATACATGTATATTTTTCATGGTAATATTGCATGCGCCATGGTAAATTTGTACACAAATCATTAAATAAAAATGTTTTTTCTTTATAATTATTTTCCTTAAATTTAATTAATTAATTACAATTTGGCATTTAGACTTTGCACACCATACAATCCAACATTAGATTAATTGTATTTAGGTTTTGCCAGAAAAAAAATATATCTATAGTCTAGTGCTGTAATTGTTATGCGACTATTATTAAATTATATTATTATTTGATATTAATAAATAAAAATTTGTTGAAAAGTAGAAATTATTTCAAATCTTAAAAAAATGTTTCTCTTCTAATTGTTATTATGGTCCTTGTGATATTTTATGAAGGATAATATTTTATTAATAAATACAATACTAGTCCATTTTGTTAATTCTATTAATGGAACATGGAATGAGATGGGATGGGATTTTAAGGATGAGTATGGACAGCAAGTATATCAATGGTTGCCAAATAAGCATTGACTGAAGTAAAAGCATAATCAATCACAAATTTTTTTTCATTTGGTAACACAATTTATCAATTGTTCTTTGTAATCCTTGAAATCAGTTATATCATAATTTTTCCTATATAACTACAATCTGATCTAAATTTTTCAAACTGACTGGTTTATCCAATTAATAGTAGAACAAATAGTAGTAGCTTTGCTTTTGGTCTTAATGGCTAAAAACTGATTCCATCGCCTGTAGGTAAAATAATAATTAATAAAATGGGACATGTCACAGCAAAAACCACCTCTGGGACTTTCTAACCAAAATTGATTTTTTTGCATAATAATAAACTATAACATAAGTATTATAATTGGTGAAAATATTAAACCCTATTTACATAATAAAAAAAAGAGAACTGGGTGACAAAGAATTTCTTTTTTATATGTTTAAATAGTGTGTAACGTAGTTGAATAAGGTGATACCGCAAAATGATCTACAAGTCTCAGAGGTGGTTTTTGCTGTGACATGTCCCAAATATGAAATATGCATTGGTTTTGCCCATCTTTATGGTTTTCAATCATTGGTTTAATAATATGTCATAAAATTATTTGTTTATTTTACCAACAATTTCATTTATTTCTTGATTGTAATTGCTTAAATGGACAAGGTAAGTTAATATTCACAAATTTTGTTATAGTATTAATAAATGGGCTAATTATACAATCAAATCATAATTTAGTTGAACAAAAAGTGAGTTTTATATTATGAGTGGATTGTTCAACAGTATTCTTAAGCCTTTTTGCAGGTGTTTGGCAGTAACCTGATTGTTAATGTTAAACTATACATGAAGTCGAAATTAAAACCCCAAAGTCAAAATGTTTCGAATTGAGGCCCAAAATAATTAGTTTTTTAACTTGAGTAGGTATATCAGGTTTACTGCTAGTTATATTTGCTTCGCTAGTAAAAATCAGTTTTGACCTTATTCGACCCTATTTCGACCAGATCTGCAAATGGTCGAAATAGTTTCGACTTCATGTATAGTTAAACACAAACACATCAAATCATTTCTTAATCTAAATGTAAAATCAGATACCAATCCTAAAGTAGATATTTGAGCTTCAAAATGCAAGTGTCTAAAATCAGGTTCTCCAAAGGTTGTGATGCATTATTATTAGATATGTAATCAATAAAATAGTCATTCTCATTTATTGTTTGTTGAAAGCAATTGTAGATTAAAGCTCCAAACAGTCTGGGTCCTAATTCAGTTTGGGTTGTCAGTTTGGACCGAACCAAAAATCTGAACCTGTCCCAAAACTTTGAACTGTACCAATTATCATCAGGAAATTTTTTCTGACACAGATTTACACTATTTACAAAAATTATGCAATTATTACATTTCAGTGTAAATATTACACAATTTTTTATGCAAATATTACAACTTTACATATTAAAAGTTATGGACATAAATATTATGGTAGGGCAAATTTCCTGATGATACTTGAGGTCAAAATTATTTGAGCTGCAATTAACATTTGCATCACACCACCAAAACCTTTTTGGCTATGAAGCATTAAAAATCAAAAAAATTAATAGGTTTTCATGTAACAAATAAATAGTTTTTATATGTGGTTAAAGTTTGAATTAATTCATACACACACTCTCAAAAATTTGGCCTTGTTTGTTAAACTGGGTAGTGTAAAATAGTAATTTTACATATCACGTGAAATCAATAAATAAGTTGGAAATGATTTATGAAAGTTGCATGTAAATAAAATTGGAAAAACTGATCAAGTATTCAAACCAGCATGGAAACTCGTCGTGTAACTGTTGCTCATGGCTGACAGCGCAAAGCTAATTCAGTAATAATTATCTTACCAAACTTGACTTAACATATGACTAAATAGTTTAGTCAGTTTAGCCAAGTGCTCATTTGAGTTACGCGGCCAGCCTTGCTGTTGCTATCATATTGATCTATAGATAAAAAACTGTGCCGCATAAATCGGAAATTAAAATATAAAGAGAAGAACTAATACTAATATTCTTAAGCAGTAGAAGTAAGAGAAATAGAAGTGTTATCATTGTATCATATTCATCATATTAACTTATTTTAATATTTTATAATAAATAAAATAATATTCTCTCCTTTAATATCCTATGCAAAATCCACTATTAAATGCTAAATTTAACATTACAAATCTGACTTAAGTGTAATACGGGCAGAATTTAACTCAAGCTTGGGTGACGAAATGTCTCCTTTTCGTCATATGACGAAAATAAATGTGACGAAATAGGATTTCTACACTTTAAGGGATTTGACAAAAGTGAGGAAATTGAGGAAATAAACAAATAAACCAATTATTTTGTAGATTTTAAAATAAAATTCATGATGTCAAATTCTAATTCACCAAATTCATCAATTCCTTCTCATATAATATGAATTTGCAAACATTAAAATTAGATACATTTGAAAGTTCATTTAACAATAATCAAGAATTAGCTACAGGACGTACTGTGTCTGATGTATGTTTACATTTCATTAAAAAACAGTAAATAAAGAAGAATTTCAACGATCAGGAAAAAATAAACAATCATCAGATGATTCTACAGATTTTGAAGAAAGCTATGAAACCAGCAATAAATGTGAAGCAGCAGCAATTCCTACTAAAATTTGCGTACAAAAATTAAGTATCAGACTAAGAAACATAATTTACAATGTAAAAAAAATTTAATTAAATATTTGTTTTAATTAAATCTAAATAGAATTGAATTTTATACTTCTGTCATCTTTATCATACATTTTGACTTTTGACTTTACCCTTTGTCACATTTCGTCACTTTTACTTTCGTCACATTTTGTCACACGTGCCCTATTTGACGAAATACTTTTTTACACCAAAATATTTTCGTCATAAAACTTGATTTAAGTTATCTAATGATCATTTACAAAGAAAAATAATTACCACCAGAAAATGTTATACCACCAGATAGATTAGGAAAAAAAAAAAAATTTCAATCAATATTAAATGAGTATGTATACGAAATTATTCAAGAACCCACTGTATTTGCGAAAAATTTTTGGCTTGTTAACTTCTAATTAGTAGGAAAAAAAATTACACATTTCATTGGGGTGTGTTACACATCAGTATAAACACAAACATAGTTGAGCACACTTATAAAAAACTATGTAAGGATTTTTTTATTGGGTGAAATGTAGATCATTTTTAATAATTAAAATAAATAATAATTATAATAAACATTCTCCTAAAATTGCTTTTGCTTGCTTCTTCTCCAAAATTTTCTTTG